CTATAAAGAAAAAAATGCCAATGTCAGTGTGACCACATATTGTGTTGGTGTTCGAATACAAAAGTGCTTGAGTTGTAAGAACTGAAAAATCAATTCTTAGTGGCAGCCTGCCCTAATCTTCATAAGGTTGGAGAAAGCTGTTCTTTGGCATTATATTAATTCTCTTATCTGAATGTTGTTCTTTCAAAACAGTGTCTTGATTAAGTGTACCCGTTCTTCAAGCGTTTCTCTTTCCCACCCTCCCAATACGTTTTAGAGACTGCTGCATTAACAGAAAGTGTCAATCCACCCTGTATGCAGTGATGTTTCTATGAAATGAAAAACAAAGAATAAATAAGTTTAGTGAATATTATTAGAGTTTATTGCTTAAATATATTTGGCTCCACTAACAAAATAACTCATTGAAATAAACAGGGGCAACATCTTTTTTTTTCTTTTTAGTATTACATTATATTCTTATAAAAGGTGCAGATAAAAAGGATGCTACAGGATTTGTACATTTAATTCAGGTATAGAATTAAGTTGACCAACAAATGAGGAGACACCACAGCATTAGAAGAGAGTGACTTGATATCCACACAAAGAATAAGGAGCCCTTTACTGGTTGTGGACGGGACACTCTAAAAACAGATGTTTAAGATTGCTTAAGGCAGATTAGTTAACTGATAAAAGGGTGGGATTCTTCCACTTATTCCTGTGCTCATAGGGGAGAGAACAATAGTACCCCCGTCATCACTTTTGAACATGAACTATTAGGTAAGCCAAAATCACTCACTTGGGTAAGAATCCATCTCAAGTGCTTGATCTAGTCTTACATTCTTGCCTAGAACATGAGCAAAAGGAGAGGGAGAGAAATTGCATATTGTGTAGACGTTTCTACAAAAAGGTAGAAAAAAAGAGTAGGGGAAGGGTCTGCCACCTCGCTAATTCCTCCCCAATTTGGCTTTGAGGCTTAAACATCACCAAGGCACCGGTCAGTGGCATGTGTCACTTACGCGGGACTGACATTGCTTCACACTTTGGATTTGATTGGCAATCCATTTGATCACTATGGCCACCATACCCTACAAAAACAGAATATAAACCATTCTGAGCAAAGAAAAGTGCCTTTCTGGAGAGGCACGGCCCACTTGCGGTATAAGGATAAAAGGGAACATGCCCAGCCCTTGTCTGCTCTGTCCAAGGAGTAGCAAGACATCACTCAGTTTACTCATAATGCCCTGGTGCAGTCTCAATAGTCATGGCTGCAACGTAGTGTACAGACACACACACACAAAAGCAAACTAAAACATGGCAAAATAAATAGAGGTATAGCATTTACAGGTTTCCCTTAAAACATTCCTAAAACTTTATATTTTTAATTAAAACTTTAAAAAAATATTAAACAAGACTGCATACATCATGTACATAACAGAACTGTACAAATGCTCTCCTTTCTCTTCAAACCTCGCAGGATATAAAATTCTCAGCTGCAATTTGGGTTTCAACCTGGAAAGCAAACACAAAGCTACCAAAAGCAGCAGTCTAGCTTTGAGATTCCCCGTGACGAAATCCTTCCATTCTTTTTTTCTGCCCCAGATGCAGCACCAGGGCCCATAATATTTCCAAAGGACATGGAAATATCTCACTAATGAGAAGTACCTCTTTTAAGTCACACTGCTACAACTATTTGGGGTGAGAGAGACTTAAACAACCTTTATTATTTCTTAAAGAACTTGGAACGCTTTGTATGACTGGTAGGTTGCTCTTAAAAAGAGAAAAGACTGCATTGGATAGCCATAGATGAATCGGGGTCAGATCTAATAAGCAGAGTGGGCTTACTAGCCAGAACTCTGGTGACTTACTTCTATCACTGCTATTCAGCAATGCCTTTAAAAGCATCCATCTCTGCTAGAAGTGCATCTTCCAGTAATTATTTCTCTATATTGCAGGCATCCCAAATGATTTGCACTTTGAACAACCCTAACTCCCTTTCTTATTTTTGTTAACCATTTAACCCTTGGGTTGCAGTAGGTGTAGCCCTGTTAGAAATAGCCAGATTGCATAAAAAGTCAAGAGAATGTGGAGGAGAAAGAACAAACCTATCACCAAAAAGCCTCAAAAAGGGAACTAGGCTTTGGGAATATAAATGTGTCATTGTGTGAAAATTGTCTAATTCATATCGAACAGGATCTCCACAAAAGGCTTCATCTTGTTATTGGGCCACCTCAATTAAGTCAGGCAATATAACGTTTAAAAAGTTACTGACTTTGTTTGCCCTCTACTATGGCAACCCACAGCTTGGCCTCTTAGCCAGAAAGCTACTGCTGTCGTATCTTACAGTCAAATGAGCTGCTATGTCACTGCTTGAGAACTTTAGCAAGATGTAGAAAAGCAAAAAAGGCACTTGGCATCTCTTCTTTTGCTCAGGACACCAAGGGAGCTGTCCCATTTAAACTTGCTCTGGATGTTTTGATGTAGGAACTATTCCCCCTCAGCCCTATGTGGATATTATTTCAGAGTGAATGTTCTCAGGTTCCCTTCTTGAGAGAGAATAAACTGAGCATAACATGTTACAGCTGTTATCTGCATTAACACAGACGTCAAGGTCCAGTCCTCTCTCTGACTTCTGGGGGAGGGGTAGAAAATGGGATGGAGAAACGGACTTCTCTGCTTCAAGCTGCATGTGGGACATGCACATGGTTCAAGCATATGCCCATAGGGCATCTGTGCAGTTCGAGTGGACTCCTACAGGCCCCAGTTGCTGACCTTGCAGTGCAAAATTCCACTACTGGGGTTATCTTTTAAGGAACTGCCAAATATCAACAAAGAAGAAAAAGCACTACAGAGTCTGGCTGAAGAACCTCCAACAATCTACAGTAAAAAAGAAAGAAAGATGGATTTAAGTGGATTCAGGTCTGCTGTTGCTATTTTTATTTATTTCCAATGCATCCATGCTGTTCTTCCAGGCCTCAAGCCCCCATGAGATGGCATCTTTATGTGATTCGCAAATGTCAGCAATAGCTTCATTTAGTCAAAGAGAAGCCATGGGCATCTGGGAGACAAGGGCCAATGGACCTTGCCAATTATCTTCATGACAGAGAGAGAGAGAGAGAGAGAGAGAGGCTGCACTTCAGGTGGGGAGTGGGAGGTAAATAAACTCCAAAGTTATCAATAGATCTTACCTCTGAGAAAACCTGGTTTGAACTGGGATCCTTTTATTCTTTTCTTTTCAACTCCTATTTTGGATCATGGAATTCAGCTCCAACTATTTTTTTTTTTTAATCTCTGACAATCTGAAATAGACGTTAGAGGTCATGGGAAGTTGCTGCTAAATTCCATCAACTGTTCATGGGAGCTGACGTTTCCCAAGTAAAGGAATGACTCAAAATATGGCAAGCCCTTGTTACAAATGAAATGAATCTTATCGTTAAGTGTAATTCTATTTTATATTATTTTTAGATACGCGCCACAGAACCTATACTAAACCGGCCTAGACTGCAAGATATTGCTATGAAAAGATTTTCTTTCTGCAAGGAATAGAATTGAAACCACTGGGCCCTACAAATATCCAGTCCAGATTGCTGTAGATTTTACAGGATAGGTGAAAAGATGCTCCAGGACTTTATCTTGTAGAACCAAGGATGTAAATACCAGTAGTTAAAAAAGAAAAAAACAATCAGGCATTACATAGCAGAGGTTGGGGACAGAAATCAAATTTCGGACTCTCTCCAACTATCACGTGAACTTCCTTTGACTGCTTTGTCTCATAGAAAAAAATGGTCATTTGTTTATTTGAACACAGATTCTCCCTGTTTCTGCTCCAAGTACCTCATTGATAATTGGGACCCTCCTCAGGCTCTTGCAGGGTCCACTAGTGCTGACAGCCACCTAGCTGAAAGGAAGGCGATTTCTAATGTTACCCAAGGTATTATAGGGCACAGTATTTTTTCTTAAGTGTCTTCCAGATATCAGGGTTACCTCCCCACCATCTAAATTGGGGGATGCCTGTGTCAGGAATGGCCACCTGAGAACGCCATGCTTATTCAAACATGTAGTCAAGTCTGTTTTCTCTTTAGCCTGGTTCCTTAATGCAGTAACAACAAAGGCCATGGCTATGTTATTAACACACTTATATAAGCATGGATCAGATTATACTTTATGGGAAAGAATGGAGTCACAGATGAAGATTTTGAATTGGAGTATATCTTATCTGTGGTATATAAGTTCTATAAGGTATTTGGTAGTACTGAGTGATATAACTCAATGTTTGTTGTTTTGAAGAATGTGTAATCTTGAGATTTGGGGGTTACAGCAAGGAAAATGGGCTTGCCTTTCACTATGGCATGTACTGCTTCAGTCTCACTTGGATAGCACATTGCAACATACATGGTGTAATGCTACATTTCTACCAAAGGGAGCAGCCAGAAGCTTGATGTAGCATTCACATTTTCTTTAAAATATCTAATTGATCATCCTAGAGAATCCCAAAACTACAACCCTGTAAATCTTCAAGAAGATTTAGGACCAAATCAGTCAGATCTGAAGGAAAAGGAAAAGGAAAAGGAAGGAAAGGGGACTTGGGTCAATTTGTCATGTGATGAAGGAACCAAAGAAATCAATGTTTCTTAAACATGTTTCTCTCTGGACCCCTTCTCATTTTTAAAAATTATGGAGGATCCCAAAAGAGCTTTTGTATGTATAGATTATATTTATCAATATTTACCATATTAAAAATTTGCATTCACCACTGCTTCTCATGATTGTTTGATGGGATTTTAATATTATCATCAACT